CTACAATCACAATGTTGTTCTAAATAGATTTGTTATATCCATCACATTAGACAGATCTATCGGCTCATCGAGTATTAGATTATCATATACAATCTCGTGCTGCATCGGTTAGGTTCGACCTACTAGATTGTTGTTGATAATATAAGTCTTGTTAAGCCGATAGGTTCATGCTAGTGTTTTATCGGGGTGCTTGCCGATAAGGTATCTGGACGTTGCATCGGCTTATAAGGATTGCATATATATATACAAGTTGTATTTAGCTGATCGCAACAAAGACTTTACTGTGGATTTTATGACATCGGACCTCCAGTCGATGTATGCTTTAACCTTCGGATCAGTGCTTATTCTATCATATCATATTGCTAGCCGATTGGTTTATACTAGATTATATTGTTATTTTATTACATCATCATCAGCCGATTTCCTTTATATCATTATCTACATTGGACATATAGCCGATTGCTTAAACCCTATCGCTATCGGCTAGTATCGGCATCGGCTATTATCGGCATCGGCTGGAGCTACTCCATCGGCTTGTCAGCCGATTGGCTATTTGATCTACTGTTTACATATCTTATCAGTTGCAGGATCAAACTAACTGGCACGCTCGCATCTCATCAAGTTTTGGACCTGCACTGGAGCTAAGCAAATCTCCCAGGCCAGCGTGTGTTTTTCGCATCAACACGCTTTTGGCACACCCGCTGGGACCACGAATTTTATATCCACATGTTTGAAGAAGAAGTCAATGCCAAGATCATGGTCACGGTGGAGAATTTAACGGACGAACAGAGGCAACAGGTGGAGCAGTTTGTAGCTGATTTTCAAATGTGTTGTCTTCAATGTTTTATTATGACACTAGAAGGGCCAATTCAGAAGACTCGATTCCCCAAGCCGATAGTTGAAATACTTCAAGATACATTTGATGAAGCAGTTCAGCGTGTGTTTTTCACATCAATAGGCGGTTTCATTTCTCCTTCACTTTGATGTATATTCTCTACATTCACATTAGTTCTTTAATCCTAATACAATATATTATGTATTATTGATATATGCGTAAGAAATGTTGATTTTCCCTTTATTCATTGGTTTAGTTGGTTGTCAAAATTGGTACTTAACGACTGTGAACACAAACGATGACCTCTGCCAAGCTGTCGTAGCTTATCTCACCGAAGAAATACAGTACTTCCGTTCCAAAATTATCATCATACAACTTTTTTGAGGTTATTCCTAAATGATCATCATATTGTATTCATTCATTAAGTCCATTCGTTATTCGTGCCAATGTGTGTAAAGCAAATCTCTCAGGGCAGTGTGTATTTTTTTGCATAAACAGCCCCCACCCCCCGCCCCGGGTTTGCATTTTTTTATTTCAATGAAAATTTCGGTTATTTCCGTTGCACAAAAATTTACAAAAAAACGTGATTTTTGGCACTTTTTGGTCCAATTTATCTTGGAAATTTTAACAAATTTTGACTTTATTTGAATAAACTTTGACCAAATTCCAAAATAGTTGAGAAAATTTGATAATTTCGGTCGATATGGTGACTTGTCGGGGTCCAAAATTTTGAAACGAAATTGCAATCACTGATCTTTTGTGTTTTTTTCCCCTCTCGGCTCCTCGCACTATGGGGTGGCGAGGGTGAGTGGTAGGTCAAGCTGTCAAGGCAACCAGAGACCCTTTGCCGGAGAGTTCGTGCAGGGTATATGTGATCCTCAAGTGGTGAATGTCAAAGTTCTATACGTCAAGTGCACACGGATCCCAGACCAGGAGCGACGGAGATCTAGAAGCAGCACCGGTCGCGACTTGCGAGCATGCGGGGTGCCAACAACCCCAAGCGGCAAAGGGCATTTTCCAGGTCGACAACGAGTTGGAGTCGCACATCCTGTGCTCGCCAATCTGGAGTGGTAGAACCTATCCAGACACTGTCAACCTTTGAACCATCATCGCCAACCGTTGGAATTTCTTAACGACATTACTAGAAATATAATTCCTAGCAATGGCGCAGAAATACTTCTGGTATATTATGGTTACAGAGTTCATCCGCAAGCACACGGATATACAATTGTAGCATTTCACCCGAGAGTATTCCAAGGGTATCGTATTTGTTTAATCCCGTGGAAAGATTATAATAAAGAGAACCATACTAATAATTTATATGTTACTTGTAATAACCAAAGTCTAGGCAGGGGTTAATATAATCCAAATGGTAGAGTGACACTAAGCAGAAGCATTTATACTCTCATTCATAATTATCTTAGCTAAGTGGAAAGAAAGTAGAAATGATCTATTCCTATACTTTGAATATACATACATATTATACATACATCCTAGTTATATAATTACTTAGCTAATACCCTCTTTCCAATGCCTTCCTGATGCTTCGAGAAGCCACCCCTAATTGCCGAGTTTCTTATGACAATCCATCATGACCATCAAACTGGGGCTAAATACGGATGAGTACCCTCCCCAGGAAATTAACTTAGGACTATATATACGCGCGGAGGAATACCCGTGCTGAGCTGTCACCATCAGTGGCCCACCTTGCTTCCGCAGCATATAACCCCAAATAATGATATCCAGTAATCTAAACATCACGCTTAAATTACCAAATACTACTTTAATATCATCGTCATGGCATAGAGACATCGTATACACGATCATTATACCCACACCATTGCATTTCCCAAATAAGCTAGCATCATAATTAATATAACTCGGATATATAGTAAAGTTGGTATTCATATACTCAGAAAATAATACAATACCAGCGTAGTATAAAGAAGAATATTCTAAATAAAGTACAAGTATTACAAAAGAAGGAAAAGCTACTAGAGCCATACCTGAATTCTTCTGAAGACTCCGAGGACTGAAGATTCTATTCTATCTCTATTTCACTATACTCTAGAGACTATACTAAACTTGAGAGATGTATGAAGCTTCTTGCTTGAGGTGTGTCTTGAAATAGAGAGAGTGAGGGCCTTTTATAGCTTGAGTATGATGGTTGGAAAGGTCGGTAATACCCTCCAACTGTCATAGGGAGTGAATCTCCACCGTTCCCTCAAAGCCTTGCATCGAACAGAGACGCGGTGGGTTTGGCCGAACCATGGGCGGGGCCGACCTAGCCCAATTTCGGTAGGCTTCCTCCTTGACCTCTTCTATCTTCAGACTTGTGAATTTTGGCCCAATTTGATCGTGTCAATTCTAAGTTCTTGGCCCATCTTTCCATAAGTCTGATTCTCGACATCGCACGATTGATTGATCATCTATTTTGATGTCGGTTCTCCTCCATTTGTGTTTATTCTCTGCAAGAGGTTAGTAATCCTAGTGCTAGTGGAATATATATTATTTTGACACAAATATGCATTGCAAGTATAACTAGTTCTCCTTTATTTAGGTAACATTGACGGGCGAAACTGATCACTAACGACCGTCAACACAAACCTCGATCCAACTCCATCAACCTTGATCTCTCTCTCTCTCTCTCTCTCTCACATTGTTCCCCCATCGATTTTGACTTGTGTCACTTATCTTCTCTGATGCACGATTTGGAAGCAGAGCCAAGAGTGAGGAGAAATCGTGGGATGGTGGGGATCCTGACTAATGGAGCCCATTGTCTGCCAATAGTGGTAGTAGAGTCACGTCCACCACCACTTTCATCTTTTAATGTAGTATAGATCATGGGCCTACCTATTTGTTCTGAAGCCAGAGACCAAACGTCACTGACAACGATGATAGGAGGGACGTGGACAGAGCTAGGGTGGATGGACCATGGCCCCTGATCCTGCGACAAGGGTCCGTCGACAACTCCATCCAACGAGCTCCACCTCCGTCTACATCACAGCGAGCAATAGGGCTCATACAGCCATCAGCTCCCCTTGTTCACCTGCAACCTGCCATTGCCACTGTGAACTGCATCTAGTAGACATGGTCTGGCTTCTGCTCACACATAGAATGAAGCCGCCACCCGCCTGTCCGTCCCAGCAATGTTCCATGCCTCTTAATGCACACTGTCAACCCATCGCTCGCTGCGCTTTCCTGGATCGATGGTGAACTCAGCCTATCTTGCATCCTCCTTAGCCTTCTGCCAGTGTCTTCGTTTTTCCTTCGTTGCACACACTCACCGTGCACTTCCTGCCATGGCATGTGGCCCCCATGGTGGTAAGGCCATGCTAGACGTGAGGTCGTTGAGTACTAGTCCACCTACGGGATGAAGCTGGGGTGGGAGAAGACCAAGGATGCGATTCCCCAGATCGGACCAGGCCTCCGCTGCTACTGTTGGGATTTGCTCGCCGTCGATGCCTCCATCCAAGGAGCTCCGCCTCCACTTCCATCACAATGAGCTCCGGTAGCCACAATGCTCCTAAGCGTGGTTTGGTCAGAGGAAAAACAGGAATCAAGGCCAAGCTGAGAATGTGTCTCCCTTGCCTCCCTCCTCTCGTCCTGGGTGTCCACCAACCACCGCTGCCGCTTTGGTTGACATCCCCCAACTGTTGATGCCGCCTTCGTTGTCGACGCTGAGAGCTTGAGGACACATGCGAGTCAGAGACAGGGCCTCCCCACCCCACTTCTCTCTCCATGCATGATGTGGCTCTCGATCTCTGCCATCATCACCCATCTCTGCCTCCTCCTGACCCCAGCTTCCCCATGCTCTCCTTCACTAGTAGTCATGGCCGGTGATGACTGCGCTATGGCTGCTCCCCTTCCCTCTCCGGGAGCTGATGGAGCCACCGGAAGGAGAGAAGGAGAGGAGGAAGGGAAAGAAGAGGGTAGGAAGAAGATGAGATGAAGAGGAAGCCAATGACATGTGGATCCCACCTGCTAATTTAGCGAGTCAACCATGGCATCTTTTTATCTATTGTTCATTTATTCTATGATATTATCTACAATACCTTAAATCCGTATCTTCACCCCCTCTCTGTATGTGTTGGAAATAGGTTATGACTCATAATCGACTGTATATGCCAATATGTTTTTTCATATGGTTGTAGCAAAAGCCATATCTCATAAGTTCTTATCATATTTTTTTCCATCAAACTTTCTCCTCAATTTCCAAGGTTTAAGACATCATAAGTGCATGCAATTATTTTTTTTAAGTACAAGATGGACTCTCACATGCACTCACGTCCATACACAGAGTCTAGAACACGTCTAAAGATATTGAGGACTTAGGCATACTAAAAATTCAAATAACCTCTTGTACACAAACCAATCAAGGTGGTTGTTCATGAGGACAACGTTTCTGGGCAAGATGGAGGAGGTATCAACCTCAATGGATCGAGAATCACTGCCCTTGCCGAGCTCATCGTCTCCTTAGGTGTGCGGTAGGCGTCATCTTCACTGTAGAAGTAGAACACAATCTTACACATCTCCCAGAAGCGATCCTTGCATGGACGAGGAATAGGGCCACCCTCGCTAAACACCAAACTCCGCATCTCCACCATGGATGACTCGGCATCTCTATTTACTATTTCCTTGGCTGCCTCAATGGACTCTGGCGAGGTATTGCCGCTGTCAGTGAGAGCACGCAGCAAGACGCTGTTCACCTTCCCCGCCAGGATCTCCTTCCTGTATGTCTGGGAGTCATTCTGGAGGCGGCCGATGACGTTGGTCAACTTGAGCAGTTGAGTGTATTCATGACTCTTGACATCCTCCTCAGACAGTTTCAGCCCGAGAAAGTATAACGGTGGACAGACGAAGGAGGCAAACGCTCCAGACACCTCTGCGTTTGACATGTACTCCTCCATTGTCGCTGGGATGTACTTGGTTGCTGTCCAATCTGCCTCGACCATCATGGCCTTCGCTGAGCTCACCAACTGCATGCACGTACGTATACATATCATAATTTAATTAGGGCATAGTAAAATGAATTAATCATGATCTACAGTTAACAGTAAAAACAATTTTAAGCCATTGATTTATGAATTCCACTGTATTACTGGCAAAACTTTTCTTTTTTACCATTAGTAGTTGAGGAAGTAGCGGTATAAATATATATAGTCCATTAAATAAAAAAAGGATATGAAATATCCAGATTGATTCTAGTATGAGCCGATCGATACCACTAAAAATTATCTATATAGGAAAGGAGGAAGACGCACAAATGTCCAAACTTACATCCTCCACTAGCTGATCCATTATGCTGCGATTTTGTTTCAATGCGGCCTTTTCCCCAATCTGCTTGTACGTGTTGTAAACCGCATAGAAAACAATCTCTACATTCTTGGAGCAAAACCCAATCTCAGCGTGGTTATCCCACCTAACATTAAGTAATTTATCATCATCATCAACAACATAAAAACAACAATATATATATATACACACACACATAACAAGTAATAACTAATTAATGATGGTTTTAATTAATAAAACCAAAGAGGGTATATATGTGGGCGAATGTTTGATTGTTGTGCGTACTTCTCAATCAGCGCGATGTAGTTCTCCTTCTCTTCTCTCGATATTTCAGGACAGTCGAAGAAGTCATCATACACAGTTATCAGCATGCAGGTCTGGCTAAGTACCATTCGGGCATCAGCAAGCTCAGGAGCGAAGATGGTGGCAGCAGAGCTGAAATGGACGATCAATGGCATCACTCTTGCGAACTTCAGCTCGTCTAGCCTGCACTGTTTCACCCAACTGCAACAAACTCACATGTGCACACCATATTTGCAACCAGTGTTAAAAAACAACATTTAGTTTGTCTTCTTGGTATGGATTTTATTTATATATATATATATATATATATATATATATATATATATATATGTATGTATGTATGTATGTATATATATATATGTATGTACATATATACATACATATATATACATACATATACATATATACATATACATATACATATATACATATACATATATATATATATATACATATATATATATACATATACATATATATATATACATATATATATATATATATACATATATATATATATATATGAATATCTTAATGCATATCTACTGCACCTCTCAAAATACTTGAGTTCTTGCTGGTAAACAGACTGGCTGGAATGGAAGTAGTCAACAGCCAAAGCTAGAATTTCTTCGTTTGAGTGGGAGCCACTGATCAATGTACAATATGGTCGCAATTAGTCATACTGTTACATGTAAAGCAAGAACAATATGTATACTTTGGCTGAGACGATGATATTGTTACCAGTATCCAGATTTCAGAACCTTGGAACCCTCGACCTTGAATTGTTCGATATTTCTCCTGTGCTCTAATCGGTCCAAGGTGGAATGGAGGGGAAATTTAAGCACATATTCCACCTGAAACATGTATTGACTCATTTTGCTGATACAAGTACAATTTAAGAGTACTACACAAGTATGGTGTCTAGGGGCAGACACAAGCCTAGCGCAATTAGGGGTCGAGCCCTACATACGTTTGTCTCCACTTTGATTGTGTGAAAGTACGTACTATTAAAATATTGGAGAGATACAGGATGTTTCTCTTTCTCTAGTTTTCAGCAATTTCTAGCTCCTGGATGTGTGCATCACTAGCTAGTCCGTGCAAAGATTAGGAGTTATACCTCTGACTGTGCTGATGTTGATAACTTGTTGGACAATAATTGTTGCTTCAATAGTTTAGCTGACCAAGTACCAATATTTTCGAGGACCAAATCCTCACATGAGAAACGGATTTGTGAAGTTTTGAACAACTCCAACAAAGTCTTAGTATCATTGAGATATCCATGAATTGAATCATCAAAGCTGGATTGTTCAGAAAAATGAGCCATTTCATCTGCCCCAACAGTTCCATGCATGTAGATGATTATAATTTTGAAATCAAATGAATACAGACAATAAACTAGGGTGATGTTCAAATTTCAGTACCTGAGGTGATGTCATAGCCATGAGTACGAAGGAGGCGAAATGCCATTGCACATGTTGGTATGTCCAGCATCACCTCCTCCTCATTGTGCAGCCAGCTCCTGCAAACAAAACAAAAATCAAGATAAAAGGAATTGGTACAAAACGCATAAAAATTATTTGCACTCGATATATCCTTTTTGGAAGGTAAAGCAAAATGTCTTATGAGTTGCTGCCACCTGTATGTCGTGTCCAATATGTCTCTTATCTCACGTGCAAATTTCTGAGAGATCCCTGTCCTTTCAAGAGCATCCACAGTACAAAGCTGGGAGTATATGTTTTGCGGATACATTGCTGGGACTGAGGACAAACAGAAAACACTTCTTCCGATTAGAAGTCTCATATCTGCTAGCAGCATGGCCGCATTTTTTTATCACTAGTTTGCATATACAAGAAATGGTTTTACTATACTAATGTAATTGGAGATAATATTTTTTTAATTAGAAATACTATGCAAAATTGTACCGTCCAAGGTGTATGTATTACAAAAACCGAAGTTGTATGTATTTCTCATCCTTCCTTGGTTTCTCGCCCCGACACGTTGACCCAATCCCCCATATCATTAATACAGTGGATTTGTTTTCCCCTTTTCTTTCTTGATTTGTTTTGGATTTTCGGTTCTTCTTTTCTTTTTAACCACGAACCTTTTGTGATATTCATCTGAACTGATTAATACCTATGTATTATGCATAGTATATATGGATGCCAGGTTTGTTAACCATGGTCATGTCATAGGTACTAGTTCTCTGATGCCAATAAATACCATGTCTGCTATAAATATCTATTATCTTGTCAGATATTCCCTCAGGTTTCATTTTAATTAACGTTTTAAATAATGACACAGTCAAAATATATATTTGACCTTATTTTTCTATTATAATATATATAATAAATAAATGCATGTTTACTTTTATTATAATGTTTTGGAAGACCAATATATATATATGTTGTTTTAGTTTCTTTAAACTAAGTATTTTTAAAGTTATTGATGGTCAAAGTTATAAAAGTTTGACCATAATCTTGTGTAAAATATCAATTAAAATGAAACCGGAGGGAGTACCTACATATTAAAAATATCGGTATTATCACCGGTATCTGGCAGGTATCATACTAGTACATGCAAGTATCATAACGGAACTAGCTACCGGTACCACTCTGAAAACTCTATAAAATATCTCTCTATATATAGTAGGAGTAATAGACAGTGCGCACCTGGGCCGCCAAACTTGTTCGTAAGTGAATCTAAATAATTGAGTGTCCTGTCATTGAAAGTATGGATTGCTGCAGCTGCCGTTGTTGAAGGCGAGTTGAACAATGATCCATTCTTCCTTTGGTATGCCATTACCTGATCCCAATCTTGAAGGCTCCCGAACCCTTCTGCCACATATGCCATGAAGGCTTTCCTTGCTGAAATTGTTCCACCGGAATCCCTGATTACAAAGTGAACAAAAATTATGAACAAAATTTAACTTAAAAGCTAGATACTATGTGCAGATAGGTCAATCTATCCTGTTCTGAAGTGTCCAGTGTGCGGAGAGGACAAAACCTGATTGATTCTTGAACATATATGGTACCACAATAAGTTTTACTAAATAAGTTCTGGTCTTTCTGAGGTCCTATTCCTTTGGTCCACAAATATAAGAGATTCTGGTGAAAGTAATAGCTAGTTGGTATTAATGGAGGAACCCTAATTTCGTAGTAAAGAATTTTATTCACAACCCCTTGATATGGACACCTTAGAAGAAAACCCAGCCAATCCCACCCATATTAATTTTGTGGCATACCGTTTAAACCTGCTTAATTCGGATTTGGTCGATTCGAGTGAAGCCGTAGATGAACACCCTTAAGTATCCTTATAAAAGAGAAAAAAATCCGAATTACCCCCTCTCCCCTCCCAAATTATTGCGGACATCTGGATTATCTCGTAAACTCCAATATTGGAATTCTGACACCTGAACTCTTAAATTCGGACGAATTACCCCTTAACTCATTCCGGAGCAATTTTCAATCTATGTCCAGGTCGTCGGTGTCATGGCCGTCCGAGATGTTGAGATGAGATGACTGATGATAGTGGTGTGGGGCAACCCTACAAGCTAGAGACAGTGGCGGCAGCCACCGTGAAGCTGGAGACCCACAGCGCCGGCGATGTGATATGCCCCCTCTCCCTACATTGTGGCCAGATGCACCACCAGCAGCCCTGAGCTCTGAGTCCACCTGTCACCCCTGGTTGCACAATCACATGTCACCTCTGGTCGCACGCCCTGAACCTCCACCATTGCCCTTGATGAGAACTCGAGATCTACCTCTGTTGCACTTTCGGTGTGAGCTTGAGTTCGGCCACCGCCTGCTACCTCCACTCTCCTCCACGAGGGGCTCTTGAGTTCAGGCTCCTCCTCCGCCTCTAACTACCACCTCCGCGGATGGGCGGATGGGCCTCCATGCTGCGCCACATCTGCCTCACCACCTCTTCCTCCTTGAGTCTCTCTGTGGTCGTCTCCTACATCGGTGATGCCTGCCAAGGCTCTCCGCATTCTCTGACCGATGCCGTCGTCGTCACCTCCTTCGCCCGAACCACCGGCTACATCATGGCCCTTTTGGCCATTGTCAACTGTGCCCCTTGGATTTACCTAGTCGACTCGACCGGGCTTCCCCATTTCTTCCATGCAAGAGGGTGCAGTAATGGCTAAGATTTCACCACGTTGGAGTCCGCATCGCCTCCCGAGATTGATCCGGGGAAGAGAGGGGCGGCAACAGCTAAGGCCCCACCTCGTTGGAGTCTGCGTTGCCTCCCGAGGTTGATCCTGGGGAAGATGGGTGGCAGTGGTTGAGACCCCACCTCATCGGAGTCCACGTTGCCTCCTGCGATGTCGATCCGAAGGAAGAGGTTCAGGGGTGGCTAAGGCCCACATCGCCAGAGCTCATGTTGCAGGCGAACCTGGTGAAGAGGGGTGGCAGCGACTGAGCACCGCTTGCTGTTGTTGCTTGCCGGGGTCGAGCTGGGAAGGAAAGGGAAAAAAGGTGCACTAAAAAGTTGGCCCACTGATTTTAATAGTTATGTGCTTATTGGACCGCCACATGTGCACCACGTAGGCTGAAAATCGCTTCGCACTGAATTGGGAAAGGGGGGAGGGGGGGGCTTAATTCGTCCAGATTTGAGAGTTCGGGGTGTCAAACCTCGTTGGAGTCTGCGTTGCCTCCCGAGGTTGATCCTGGGGAAGATGGGTGGCAGTGGTTGAGACCCCACCTCATCGGAGTCCACGTTGCCTCCCGCGATGTCGATCCGAAGGAAGAGGGTCAGGGGTGGCTAAGGCCCACATCGCCAGAGCTCATGTTGCAGGCGAACCTGGTGAAGAGGGGTGGCAGCGACTGAGCACCGCTTGCTGTTGTTGCTTGCCGGGGTCGAGCTGGGAAGGAGAGGGAAAAAAGGTGCACTAAAAAGTTGGCCCACTGATTTTAATAGTTATGTGCTTATTGGACTGCCACATGTGCACCACGTAGGCTGAAAATCGCTTCGCACTGAATTGGGAAAGGGGGGAGGGGGGGGGGCTTAATTCGTCCAGATTTGAGAGTTCAGGGTGTCAAATATCTGATATTGAGTTTAGGGTATTCCAAAATGATCGCAACAGTTCGGGAGCAATTTAGTTTTTTTCCTATTATATTAAATATTATATTCAAAATTATATGACAATGAAGTAGGTATAATTCAATATTTCGTTCAAGAAAGGCCGAACTTTTATCCTGTCAGTGGGCCATTGAAATTCCCTGACCGACCGACTTATTTGCAGGCTGCAGCTGTTACTTAGGCGTAGGTTAATTGCTTTATTGTGTTGGGCATTATGTTATACAAAGGAAGTATATATAAGTTTTGGCCTATGTAGCAATGTATCTCTATCTCTACTACTTTAAAAAATATGAGGTGCTTCCATCGTCCGTTAAAAAAACCGGTGGTAAAAACCGAGCGAAAAAAACCGGGCGAAAAAACAAATCTGTGTTATCCAAAAAAAGGTGGCAAAAAAGGGGAAAAAATCGAAATGAATCCGACTCTATCGAGCCGGGAAAAAAGGGGCGAAAACTTTTTTTAAAAAAGCTGTCCGATTCCACACAAAAAGGAATTATATGTGACGCGGTAAAAAAAATCAACCAGGCGAAAAAAAAGAAAAAAAAAGTCCGATAAAAAAAGGGGCAAAAAAAACCGGGTGAAAAAAAAAGCAAACTGTCCGATCAAAAAAAAAGCGGGGAAAAAATCGAAACGAATCTGACTCCGTTGACGCTGTAAAAATAAGGGCGAAAAAATAATAAAACTGTCTGATTCTAAAGAAAAAAATAAAAAAAATGTCTGATTCTAAAGAAAAAGGAATTATATGTGATGTGGTAAAATAAATCGAATCCTATTATATCTATAAAGGTCCGACACTACAAGAAAGTGGCTTAAAAAACCGTTCATAAAAAAATGCACGAGAAAAAAAAAAGGGCAGAAAAAAGAGCGGTAGAAAAAAAATCTAATTTCTATTCATCGTTTTAGTTGTCCGTTTATATCTCTTCTTTATCTCTAATCTAATCTAATCTAACTATTAAAAAAGTGAAGTTTCTACCATATATAAAAAAGAAAAAATACGCGAGAAAATAAAAACGGTTTAAAAAAACGCGTGAGGAAAAAATGTCAGAAAAAAGCACAAAAGAAAACGCAATAAAAAAAAAGTTCCGTAGTCCGTAAAAAAACACGCGAGAAAAAAATATTTCCATCGTATGTAAAAAAGCAAAAAAAAAAACATACGAGGAAAAAAAGGCTAAATTAATGGACACTTGGTCGAATAGGATCCATCGATTTTTTTCCATCTCCTACACGACTTGTGTTTCGTCATCTATTCTCCTGTATTGGAGACCCTACACATCTTTGTAGGTAATTATCAGACTATTTTTGTGAAGTGTAGCTATTATTCTTGATAACATATTATATGGAAATAATATTAGAAAATAAACATATTTTAATTGTTATTTAGAGAAGAGTGCACAATGACTCTATTTTGTGTAGACTTGACCATACGAGACAGTGTAGGATTTGATTGGTTGCAAGAATGAGATTAAAGAATATTTTAGATTATATGCATGTTGTTATATGAATAATTCAATTATTTTAGGTAAAGCAAACATAGTAATGTTGCCATCATCAAGGTTGAGCCATTACACATTTAAGATGTTCCAATTTTCTGATTGTCATCGACATGGTTATATATGAAAAACATATATTATCATCACGTTTTTTTCACCCGTTGCAACGCACAGGCATATTTGCTAGTAAAGTCATAATATATAAAAAGCTGCTACCACTGGTGGAGAAACCATCTTTGCCCGATCGACCAAAAACCACAATAGTCCCGGTTGCAATAAAAACCGGGACTAAAGATGGATTTTAGTCCCGGTCTATAAGCAGAACGGGACTACGTGATCTTTAGTCCCGGTTGGTGTTACCAACAGGGACTAGAGATCATCTTTAATCCCGGTTCACATGCTGTCAGGTGTGGTTAGGGCCCTCCAGGATCTTTACCGGGACTAAAATTCGGATCTTTAATCCCGGTTAGTAACAATAACCGATGATCTTTACTCCTGGTTGGTGTTACTAACCGAGACTAAAGATCAAAACGCACTATATAATCCCTATTACTTATCCTTTTTTCCCCTCCACACAGACTCCTCTCTCTCTCTCTTCATCTCTAATCCTTATCTCTTCCCTTCCTCCTTATCTCTTTTCTTTCCTTATCCCTTCGCGTGGCTGAAGTGCACAGCAGGAGGGGGAGGGCGGGCCGTACGGTGGAGGGCGGCGCGGTGGCAGCTGGCGCGTCGGCGCGGAAGGCCGCGCGGCGGGGGCCGGGGAGGAGGGGAGGTGGCAGTGGCTGAGCCGGCCGTCGGCTTTGCTTCCTTTCCTTTTTTTTTTAAAGAATTTGTGATTCATGTAAAGATTGAGATGAAGAATTTGTGATTCATTGTATGGATTGAGATATATAATTTCTTTTTGAAAAATCTGTGATTCATTGTATGGATCTAAGATGTGTATGATTTGTACATTTGGGATGTTTCTTTGATTTGGGGTTTGATTTGGAATGTATAATCTGTGGTGTATATGATTGATTTGTGTATTTGGAATGTTACTTTGATTTGGGGATATGCATCCCACTTAATTTGGGAGAAAATAAATTAGAGATAATAAATGAAAAAAAAAACTAACCAGGACTGCCGCTCCCATCCACCAACCGGGACTAAAAATCGATCTTTAGTCCCGGGTATTTGAACCGGGACTAAAGATAGAAATCTTTAGTCCCGGATTCATAGTTCCGGTTTAAAAACCGGGACTACGCGGGGTTATGAACCAGTACTAAAAACGATTTCTCCACCAGTGTACTTGAGCTTAAAATTTTCGTATACAGATTATTCAAAACAGACCATGAGAGACTTCCATTTAAAGAGCAGAAACTCATATGCCCCATTGTGTTTCGGTTTGAACCTTCAAACTTTCTACTAAGTAGAACTAGAATACTAGGAAGAAACTAAAACCATCTCAATTCGAAAAGAAAAGAATATATGTGGGTTCTATATTTTCTCTTTCTCTTGCTATTTATGTTTCCCAATGTAATTAGCTAGATAGTAGCATGAGATCCGATTGAAGTGTTCGCATGCACATGTACACCCATTGTTTGGCACCATTAATCTGGACAGGATTTGCTCCCGTGATCCAAAACTAACGAGAGTAGCTATATACAATTAAAATTCGAAATTTTTTGGTGTAAAATATTATGACACTGAAACTATTCTAGTATTATTACAGTGTAATTTATATTTAAATTATATGTAACATATGTGAACTCACGCTCGGCTAGCTGGCTAGCGAAGCTTAATTACTCTCATGTTAGAGCAACTCCAACAATCTAGCTATCTGGGTTTGGATCGGTAAAAAAAAAAAAACAAGTCAAAACCGGGGTCCAACACACTCGGTATCGTATCTCGCTCTGCTCGCAATCCCATTCGGCATCCGTTGCCCCTTGCCCTGCATATTTGCAGAGGCCATCCCGCTCGCAATCGCCGCTCTCCCACGCACGCGCTCGTTTCCCGCCCGTGCGCTCCCGCCCAATCGGTCCCGCCACCTCAGCCTCCCATCGTGCTACGCCGTCGCACCGGTCCCACCGTCCCGCGCCGTCGTTGGTCCCGCCGCCTAGCGCCCTCGCCCTCCCGCCGTCGCGCCGCTCTGGCCCCGGCCTTCGTCTCGCCATGTGGAGGCCGCCGCGTCCTGCTTCAACGGTGACTGGGGACTTGGATCAGGATGCTCATCGCTCGGAAGGGGACTTGGATCAGGATGCTCATCGCCTCCGCATGGCGATAACGCATGCACCTGTTGGATGTGCGGCCGGCGGCGGCGTGATGACGCAACAAGGAGGCGCGCGGCGTCCACCAACGATCTGCCGACGGCGACGCGGTGCAACGAGAGGCAGCGACATGCAGAAGGAAGCAACCGGCTGTGAACGACGTCCAAGCGATGGAAACCAACGGCGGCGGCGGAGAAACGAGAAGTCGTGGAGTCACCGGTCCGAAAGAACGGGAGCCGTGACGTGGACCCTTTTGAATACGGAGAGTCAATATTTAGCTAGGCTGTTGGTTTTACCCCTCTGTTTGGGACCTTTTTTCCTTTTTACAGACCTCTTTACTCTCTAAACTTAGCTAATCATATACATAATCTCTTGGACTTGCTCTTAGTCTCAGGTTTCACTCCTCTTGCAGGCATGTCGGTTGGTTTTTTTATCCTCTCCACACGTATCTCGAGGTGATCCAAAATCCATAAATTCAGTTGTTTTAGACATTTGATTGATTTAAGGAAAAGCTCTGAATACGCACTACGTTTCATATTATAAGTCGTTTGACTATTTTTTTAAGTCAAAATTTAAAATATGAAATTAATTTCATTAAATTTAACATTGAATATATTTTGACAATATATTTGTTTAGTGTTAAAAATTTTGTTTTGAACTTTTTTCTCTCGCTTATAAATGAATTTTAATATAATATTAGTATGGCATCACTATACAATATAAACTAATGACCGATGGTTGACGATACGTAAAAAATACTATATTAATTATTCAACCCCATTTATTTAAGCTTCCAAACACCCAAAACCACATAGGTGGTAATTTGAACATTGTCACTAAGTTTACAGTGTTAGTTGTTTGGTTTTAATGTTCATGTGCTAGACGAACTTCTGTCAAGTGTTTAGGGGGTTATATAGACTTTTTCCTTTATTTAATTAATACTTTCTCTGTTTCTAAATATTTGAGACCGTTGACTTTTTAGTACATGTTTGACCGTTCATCTTATTCAAAAACTTTTGTGAAATATGCAAAACTATATGTATACATAAAAATATATTTAACAATGAATCAAATGATAGGCAAAGAATTAATAATTACTCTAATTTTTTGAATAAGATGAATGGTCAAACATGTTTTAAAAAAATCAATGGTGTCAAATATTTACAAACGGAGGGAGTACATCCCAACATGATGTTGTGTTGCGTCTAGTAATTTCACTCTTTTACAATTTCACACATGTAAATTTAAAACTAATTAAAAGAAGTGGCACAATATAAATTTCAGAACTGAATCCTAATTAATTTTATTTTATTGGCTAACCTTTCCAATTCGATCTTCCGGAGGTGAAAAATTTCATCAATATCTGTTTGCCAAACAGGTAATTGCAAACCCATCCCAGAGGCAAGGGTTATTAAACCAGAGAATGTAACGTTAAAACCCACAGGAGCTATATTTTGAACATCCATCGCAACGGAGAAATTTCTTCCAACAAAATTTAGACCTGTCAGCATCATAAAGTTATGTCGTTATAAAAGGTCTCATCATCAAACACGAAGGTACGTCGAAAGGACTTAGCAGCATCGATATGAGTGCAGTTTTCTACACCCTCCGTTTAGAAAATAATTTAAAGAAAATAACTTCTAAGAATAAATCTGAGATATATATTGTCCAGATCGATCTATTCTCAGAAGTGGGCGACAGAGGAGTACTGTTATAAATATTTGACACTTTAGATAGGGCTATAGTCAAACTTCTTAAACATTGGCTATAAGTAAATTGAAGATATGTACCTAGTATAAAAAATGGTGTGCATAGATTTGTCCCAAAATTAATGTTAGGGCCTATTTGTATTGCATGAATGGAAAACAAAAGTAACAGAAAAAACACATGATTGTAACATGAACGTATGTGTAGAATATAGAATTGGAAAACACATGAAAATACTAAAGTGGCCATTTGATAGGATCACATAAAAGCACAGGAATTTAAAAAGAGATAAAAAACTCAAAGGAAACTTCCCATAAGGTTGTACTATAAAATTTCTCTATAAATTCTTTCATGCAAAGCTGCCAACTTATTCTAACATAAACTTGCAATCAGAATGTCCCTCGAAATCTGTGATAAAAGAATCAAATATTATATATTATTTTAACTAGAGTTAGTAGTTAATTTTTACCTCTCTTGATGTGATATGAGCCTGCATTCCACTTCTTGAGTGCGACAACGCATGCCAATGTAGACAAGAGAATATCTTTGTTGACTGATAAACTTGATGAGTTTATACCCCAAGATCCATCGTCATGTTGGTTCTGCAGAATCCACTCAATGCACTGCGGATAACATGGAGCTTGAGAAGAACTACGCTCCGGCACCATAGCCACCCAAGCTGTGTCATATAACGATGGTGATAATTCAACTCTCTGCAACTGTTTTCTTATCTTAGCTTGGAGTTCCTTGCTGTGCTGCAATATTACATCAGAATAATAAATTCAACCAAGGAATCAGTACATGATGACATTACATACATATCATTACCAACCAATGCTCTTCTGGATTGACCGATGGATTGATGGCCGCTCAGTGGCTTCCTTACCTCCTGATCTCCTCTGGCCTCGCGAACAATTTCTGGGTTTCCGACATCCGCGGCGTCCTAACTGTCCCGGTCATCTCCCAGTTTCTTCTTATTTGGGATGTGGTGTCTCACGTCCAGCTCTCGCTGGGTGTCGAGGATCGTCTTGTTTGACGTTGGACGAGTGACAAGCGCTACACTGCGCGTTCGGCGTACTGGATGTGCTTCTATGGCCAGCACTCCTTTGCTTGTGCTGATCTTCTCTGGCATGCTAAGGGTCCTGCTAAATGCAAGTTCTTCTTCTGGTTTGCTTTTCAGCGACGCTGCTGAACAGCAGAGCTCCTCCAGAAGCGCGGCATTGATAGTCACTCGGTCTGTCCCTTTTGTGCTCAAGAGCTTGAGACGGCGAATCACATCCTCCTCGATTGCGTGTTCGCTCAGCAGGTCTGGCTCCGTGTGTTGTCGTCTCCTGGTTGGGATGCCATCTCTCCCACCCGTGGTAGCTATCTCCAGGTTTGGTGGCCTTCGTACAGGGCATGCTTGCCTGAGCATCTTCGTCACAGCTTCGATTCTCTGATCCTCTTGGTCTCCTGGCAATTGTGGAAGGAACGGAACTCTAGGGTTTTCGACTCTGCGTTATCTCCGGTCTCGGAGGTCCTTTAGTCCATCAGCTCAGAGGGCCATCTTTGGTCGTTAGCTGGCATTGCTAATTTTGGGGTTTTATTGGGAGAGTAGTGGGAATCGTACTTTCCGAGTCTTTTTCCTTTGGTCTTTTGTTTCCCTCCTCTCTTGGCATAAGTCGATCTGGCTTAATGCATTGTGTAACGAATATTCTATCGTCTAATATATTGACGTGCAATCCTTTTGCGCGTTCGAGAAAAAAACATACATATCAGATTCTATTTCAAAATTTCTAAATACGAGTGATACATTTTTTTACAAGGACATAAATGCATGATGTTGTTGCTAAGGCTAACAAGGGAAGGGGGGACCTTCCACCCAGAGAAAGAATGCTACAGTAATTTCCCTTTTCCCGATCCCTCTTCCCTCTGCGATTCCGGTGGTCCTCCACTGGCGTCGACCGGATGGGGGTCAGGCATCCTCTCCTCGTAGTGTAGTGTAGTTTAGTTTTAGTTTTTACTGTTCTCAAGTCCTCCTGTAGTGTCGAACTTGTCTCGCTTTAGGGTTCATGGTCATTGTTATCTGATAGCGACAACTTTTGGTTTTGAGGCTGTCGATCTGTCCTCTAGAGATGTCGAATCAGAGATTTTGACAGGGAGCACCATGACAATATTTGGTTGAGTCTGGTGAAGCACATCGAGATTCTACAGCTCAACTACAAACCTCGAATTATGCCATTTCCGTGGATGCAACCGAAAAGATCACCAAATTTTCAATGGGTGTGCACGCCGTCAATAGAAGCCAATGGATGGAATCATCGCAGCAATGCCTCTGCTCCCTATCGATTCCATCTATTATCGCTGCATGGATTTACATGAAGGATTGCTTGCCTAGTTCAGTTATCTTCACCTTTCAAAGGGATATGGTCTGCTTGTTCTGTTTATACTGCTTTGCAAGGTGATGTACTAGGGGATTTGTGCCCCCGTAAACTCTGCTTTGATCTATAATGATAATATTTTAATTTTTTAGAAAAAACGAGGGGGGGGGGGGGCAGATCCATCGCCCGACGACGCTGAACCGCAGCCTGGGCCAGTCAGTTAGACCCGCAATAGAATTTGAATGTTTTGTATTGTTAGATTAGAAACAACATTTTCTCACATCAAACACTTGATTAGTAATTTTTGTTCCAGTTTCTAAAACTTTTCTATATCCGCGTGCCCGCCACCGAGGCTAACCTTAACCACCTAAAAACTTTCCAATCTATTCTCTTCAACGATTTTAATAGAATCATGTACTCATTTAACTATTTACAGATTCGTTGACGAATTAGCGATAGTCAAATTAGAATGATCAAGCAGATTTACAAGTAGGGCGCAAGTAGCGATAATATGCGTGAAAGCCACGAAATGGATTAATTCGTACCATGACTTGCAGGCTCCGTACATTTCCTCCGACTTCCCCCTTCTCAACACCTCCTACCGCTTTGGAAACAAAACGAAAAGAAGTGAGATACGTTGCCAAAACCAATCCAATCATAAATTCAGAACTAGATTAATTATGGAGCATCAATATAATAGCAGAAAATTAATATATATATTATATATACGCTGCTACTAGTACCAATTGTTAATTCAACAATGGAAAAAGTCTGAACGACCCCTGAATGACTCAACTGAATTACCCCTCTAAACTAAAATACCAGATATTTATACCCTCAATTATTTATATGAGACAAATAACTCCCATGAGCACTGTTTTGGGCGGTTTTGATAGCTTGCACACTTGGCCACAACGTGGCAATCTAGTCAGCAAAGTGCAGAATAGAAAAAGATCCATGGGCCCACCTACCATATATCCCCCTAAAGTCATCCCTTACCCTTGCTCTTTCTCTCTTTCTGCGCTATGGGTTATGGCAGGAGAAGGTGGTCGGTGTTGCCAGTTAGAGCAGGTGGCGGACGGGCGAATCAACACAAAGATCACCTTTGCACAAAGAGTCACGCCGCCTCCTCCTCAGTGTCACAAGCATGCTATCGCATCATAGCTTTTCCATTGCATGCGCTTGCCGATGAGGAGGGCGGTGCCTAGGAGGGGCTTGTACCCCTCGGCTCCCCTTATTCCCAAGTGACGGTGCCGAGAAGGGACTTAGAGTGACAGTTGTGGGCCAAGTGTGCACGAGGCGGCGAACGGTGTTAGAGGTGGAACGGTGGCGGTGGTTGGTGGTGGCAACATCACAGCGACAGATCCGCCCATCGCAGGGCAAACTCGATATTTCGACAATGAACCAAGGTCGGATCCACACCACCTTCTCTTGGTTGGCTTGGGCTTCGGAGGCAGTTCACCTCCACGGACCTCAGTGAGTGGGCTCAAGCTTTGGTGCGGTCTAGATCGACGGAGCCACTCTGATCGAGACCTATCCCCACCAACCGGCTCCACCTCCTCCTCCGGCCATCGAATGTGCCTCTCCTGGACCTCCTCATGCTCTCTCCCTAGCCTTCTGTTCGAGGTGCCGCCCCATCAAATCAATAGCCGACAGTGTCGGATTGAGGAGAGGCCAGTAGGCATTGAGCTCATCGTTGTCGCTGCCGAGGAGCTCGTTCCTGCACGGAGCTAGTGGATCCGCTTCGACCACTTCGCTGAGGGAGTCGGGCGGATGGCATGCAGAGGTGAGCATCTAAAGCCCAAGCATGCTCGGATGAGGGGAAGAAATGAAGAGGAAGGCAAGTAGGTTATAGCGTCCCACCCCCCTCTATCGGTGGGTTCCTCCTCTAGGTGTTCACCGTATAGAGGAGAAGGAGAGATTTGTCGGTGGAGCATGGGTGGCGGACAGCTGGTCGATTCCGAGTTGTTGGTGGAGAGCGAGGCATTGAGGGTGAGGAAAAAAAGCATCACCGACAATAGGCCCCGCCTGATTTTTACGGAGTATTTGTTTTTCTGACTGATGCCACGTGTGTGCCACGTAAGCTGAAAACTACACAGGATTGAATTAGGGGTAATTTGTCTGGATTTAAGGACTCGGGTGTAAAATGTCTAGTATTTGAATTCAAAGGGGATAATTCGAACTAGCGCAATATTTTAGGGGGTATTTGAACTTTTTGTTTAAATAATTGTACTCCATGCTAGAAATATTCCTTGGGCAGCAGGCATGGCTGGTACAATTATTTTGTGACAATTTCATAAGTATTGAAATAACTATCTGCAACTAATAATTTAGGGTAATTTGGTCATTTTTACTTAAAGCTAATTTGTCTCATGTCTTTACTACTCCATATTAGAACGATAGTATAGGAGAGAGGGACTTGTTCATGCCAAGTAGCATCAATCCCAATAAAAACTATTGTACCTCTAGTGACCATAGGAGGATGTCCTTTGCTCATCTGCTTTGGCAGCATCCCATAGTAATGGGGTGAAGTTCTTGGGATTTGGCCCATGGAGCATATGGAACTCGGTAGCATCGTAGTTGCCTGCACCATACAATATGTGTGAGGTAATTAATTAACAAAGAAAACAAGGTCAGATGGAAATATGGTATATGGATGCGAGTCTATCTACCTGTACATACCTACTCGATCCACCCACATCCCAATTTAATCATCTCCTAAGAATATTTTAGATCTTTTCAAATTGATCATCATCTAACCGGTATCTACTCGTTTATTTGTTGAAAATTAAATGACAACATTGCATGTCTATTCATTTATGTATACCCAAGTAAATATTATAATTACAAGTCTATTCGTTTATCTATGTAGCCCTCGATATCAAACTATTGGTTTTTTATAGCGTTTAAATTGTATCCGAAATATACTAGTACTGTATTCTTACTAATCACCTCTGATTTAATTTTCACACTACCCTACCATCACTCACCCTTGCTCCAACCACCCTGAATTATGTGGCAGGTGGATAGGTATTTTAGCCCAGTACCATATCATCTAAAGAGATTTTAAGCGATAAATGAAATAAGCCCTCCAATACACAATTTTATTGCGTGACTTTATAGGTTAGTCATGACATTTAATAGCGATATATGGGATTAGATGTAGTTGGATAAAATGAGATCAATCTAGCCCCTAATGTTACTATCAACCAAGATTGTCAGTATCCCGATCCATATTATAGTATTGTATGATTATAATGATCGTACCAAGCTGAAATGATATTGACCCTAATTAGTATTCATTTACACATGATCATATGAAATCTTAGTTAGTATCTTGATTCTACGATCTCTATGATCCTATAAAATATTATTTAAAATAAGGTGGATTGAAAATAATATGAATAAATATGATTAAGTTTACATAAAAACCAATTAAATTTATCAAAATCAATTTATATGCTTTAATTTATACAAAATATTTTATATAAAAATATGTAATTTCTAAAATCTGGCAGTACAAATTATAACACAATCCTTGGTTTAACTAGTTTCATAGTATTGGAAATAGAGTACGCCTAGTTTCATTTAGATGATTTTTTTCCCTCTTCCTCTTCATAATTATGTTATGAGTAAATTGTACCTACAGTACAACAACTTGGCATGTGGTGCGATATAGTGCAAAAACTTAAGAATTGAACGTCCGAGTGTGACAACTTGACAAGTAGGTGCGTTCTAGCGTAAGAACTTGATAATTAATATTTTGGTGCATCAACTTGGCTAAGCATATGCTAGGTGAGTTTTTTTCACGATGTCAATATGCAATTACATAGTAATTCTACGCATATTACTTTATAATATTGAATTTAATCTTTGAGAATTATATTGCACATACAATTTACATCCAATTACCTTTAAATTTTTTTTTTGTTTTCTTCACCTTCTTAAATATCAACAGAAATATAATAATTTCTACATCCGAATTAATTGACTTTCAGTTATTAGTTATTAGGATAAAAATATAAATACGCTTATACAAATCCACACAAATATATTACCAAAATAAATACTTAAAAATTAAATTTATATAAAAAATGCTCCAAATAATTAAGTTGCCGTGTAACTTCTTAATTTATTTATCAAAACCGTACCTACCTTGTAAGTTGTTGCATTTATAAAATTACTTATAAAGTTCTTATACTTACCTGTCAAGTTGTGAACTTGTGATGCACTATGTGTGCAATTTACTCCTTTGTTATCATGTCACCATATTTGCTTAGGTGACATCTTATTTATCGAGAATGAAACGTCAACAAAACTTTTAATAGGATATTGGTCATATATACTCAAGAGTAGAGATTTAGGAATTAACTTTTTTAGCAAGGAGGGAGCATACAAGAGAATATAGAATTGTACCTTGCACCACTCACAGGCAGGGAAATGAAGCAAAACTAGCAATGGAAGAGCAGAGAGCTCCGCGTGGTGGCCTTCTGCCTTCTTGTAAAAGCTCTCCTCCGTATACGTGCTGCGTTGCACCGCTATTTATATATTTATAAATAAAACGGTGCATGCATGTGGTCCAACCCACATGTATTAATTATTAGTCAATGCATGTGGTCCAACCCACTTGTAGAAAGTCATATGACTAAATATAATGAGCATCTCTATTGATAATGACTCTAATACCTCTCATTAAAAACAATAAAAAAAAGCCTTACTAGTATTAACTTGGTCAAACTGTACGACCTAACTTTGGACATATATCCAATAATTTTACGATATTTTTTTCCAAAAAATTGCGCACAACAAATTTTCTTAGATGTAATCCGTAGTAATTTAAGTACAATAAAAATAATTTATGTACACTGTAGCCATTAGGGTGTGTTTGGTTGGGTGGATGAGTCTGAATGGGAGATGGCCGTCCGAGTTTTTTGGTGTTTGTTTAGAGGGTAGGGTGGATGGGGCGGCTCGGAATAGGGAATATTCCCTCAATATGCTGGATGAGTGCACCCGGCCGATTTGGCTGGATGAAGTTATAAGCAAGATCTAAATGATTTTTTCTCTTAACCCATTTATATAATTTATGATTTGGTTATACCATTAGATTTGTTATAATTAATTCTTTAAAACAAGATCTCGGATGATTATATTTTAATAAAAAAATATACTACAAATGGGTCCCACTAACTTTGGCTTTTCCCATCCATGGCTATTTTGCTCCAACCAAACAAGAAATTGGATCACTATATCCATATAAACCAAACAAAAAATTGGATCGCCATATCTAACAAAATATGAATGGCCATATCCTATCCATACATGACCGTGAACCAAACACACCCTAAATCTCAACCCTCGTGGCGCATAGGCTAAAATTATGGAAAGTAACCTGTGCAATCAATCCTATTTATTCTTTTCTTCCGTAATTTTCTAATCTATGCAGATTAGGAGCAAAAGGGACAGTCCCTAATTTCAAATGTTGATTAGGATTATTCATGTGGCATATTAAGTTGGTCCAAAGATGATTTAAATACTTAGAGGATTTATGTGTATAAAATTAAATCTCAGGGATTAAATTCAGTCTTTGGTGAATTTTGAGAGACTAGATTAGCTATTCACCCATAAATCATCAATAATTCTTAGATAGAAAAAATAAACAAATTATCAAGACAAACATCGGCAGACTCGGCACAAAAATAATTAAACGATACACGAAAACGTACACGTCCAACTCAGCGTTCTTTTTTTCTTATTATTATTATTATTATTATTATTATTATTATTATTATTATTATTATTATTATTATTATTATTATTATTATTTCTTGCTTTGGTACGTTGGTTTCGTTGTTGGTTCCATAATTACTTAGCCGAACACGATTCCTATACCGTTGCATGGACTAATTCATTGGTTCAACGAGAATCGGCCTAACTTACTCGTTGGATGTCACAGTGAATTTTTGGCTCAATCCATGGAAGCAGTTGCTCGGTAAACGATGGTCGATGACTCCTACCACATTATGGGCGAGATTGCTACCTGGCGGCGATCGGGATTCGGTCCCCCTTCCCTCCACCTGTTTCTTTTTTTACACCGCATCACTTTTGTATTTTAGTAAATTTATACACCTAAATTTTGTACACCTTAAGTTATACATCTAAAGTTTAGAGATCTAAAGTTTATAAATCAAAAGTTTATATATCCGATTCAAATTTGAATTCAAATATTTTTATATATAAGTATTTCTATACATCTAAAGTTTATACACCTAAAGTTTATAGACCCAAAGTTTATAAGTAAAAAGTTTATATACCCTATTCAAATTTGAATTTGAATTCAAATATTAGTTTATAGACCTAAAGTTTATAAGTCAAAAGTTTACGTACCGTTTCAATTTTAAATTTGAATTCAAATTTTTTTATATATAGTATTTCTATACATAAATTTTTTCAACTTTGTGTTTTTTATTTTTTTTAAAATTTATGGTGTAGTAGGAAGAGAAGAAGAAGAGAAGGAAGGAAGAGAGTAGTGTACAGTAGGGGATGAATTTTTTTGAGAATTAATATTATTTTTATGGAAAATCGCAAAAGTAGTAGCCAGGTGGGGAAATCGCGAATTTAGGGGCCTGTCGAACTGGTGCAGTTCGATAGGCATCCTATCGAACGGCCGGCGCATGACTGAAAAGGAAATCGACTGGCTGCACTTCGACAGGGCCTGTCGAATGGGGGCAGTTTGTCGGGGCCTCGAATAGCACCTGTTCGACAGCCAGTCGAACACCCTCTGTTCGACTGGTCTACTCGCCCATTTTTTAAAAAATATAATGTTATTTTTTTAATAATATGTAAAATATTGTAATATTTTAATGTGTAAGATTGGAAATTATTATTGTAAGGAATGTATAGGGTTTTGATAATGTATGTTGGCAAATTTTATGGGAAATTGTAGTATTTATTTGTGGCTTAAAATATTTGGATTATTTAGTTTCATTATTTGTATATATTTTTGGTTTCATGGCTTTGTCGCAATTTATTTAGTAAGGATGGATAAAGAAAGGAGGGGATCGAAGATATTGCAGCTACGGAAGCGCAAATGAGCTTAATAGATGAAAAAGAGAATGAAACATTAGCTAACAAATAGACGAACATAATCCATTCTTGACACTTACAACAAAAGTCCTGAACTAGAGCGATTTGAGGTTAAGCTTCTCTATTGTCCCATTCTACGTCGTTGTTTACGTAATGCAACTTCGTGATCATTCAATCTCTTATACTATGTTTGCGTTTCAGCTTCAGATACTCTTCCGCCTTCCTACATCGGGCTGACCATGTTGATCCATGAAGTAAAAGCACATATCCTTGGATTCCCCTGAACAATCAATAAAATTAGAGAATTAATGGGAAATAAATGTTATGGGAGCGCGAAGCAAAATGTAAAATAATAAGTAAGCATGTGACATACAACGAAGTTGTCGTCTATGTTGGGACAGACGAAGTACCGCATGCCATATATATCTTGTGAGAAGGACGTTACAACATGGCAGCGATCTCTACAACCGCATTTGGGACGATCAGACCATTCAGGTATACCTAATGGATTTGATCTCCAGTGTAAGCTAGCGGACTGAACCAAGCGCACGTACTCCATCCATGCTTGAATGAATTGTGTGGTCGTCTCAGGTTGAGTTATCGTCGAACCGATGGAAGTTCTTCGCACCGTATCAATCCACTTTACATAGCTACATTTGCGGTCTTCTTCCTGTGTGCAGAAATTAATGACCGTAGATGGATGTAGGTATATGACAGAAGCAATAGGAGTGAATGAAAAATTAGCGGCACTTACGATGAAATCATTGTCGACAATGTTAGGATAGACGAAGCATCTCTGTCCTAGAGTTCGTTGTCGAACGGACCTTATCACCTGGCAACGGTCTCCACACCTACACTCTGGACACTCCCGCCAAGTTGACAGTCCGGTGGATTTACTTGCCATTGTAAGGATTCGATAGTTTTTCGTCATTCGTTCTCTTCCTTCCTCCTTAGATAGTCTGATAATGGTTCGCTGCATGGATATGGGCGTGCCCTGTCAAGTTGTGGATTCGTCGTATAAACCCACTCAACGAAGTCGCACAAACTACGGTAAGTCTGAAAAATTCTAGATTTGTAGACACGTGGTTAGCGATGTATGTATTAGACATGTGCAAATGTAGAGATGACAATGCATTGAACAGATACCTGGTAAATGTTTGGGCATTGGAAAAATCTCCTACCGCGGATTTCAGTAGTAAGTGATGTCATGAGTATACATCGATCACCGCATGCGCAGATTGGAAGGTCGCACCATGGTGGAAAAAGACCTGCGAGTGGATCTCTCCGCCAGTCTAAATGCTCGCGGAATGGAGCTTCCATTGTGTTGAACTGGAGGCTGAAGACAATGGGAAATGTAAAGAGCAAAGAACTTGATAAGCTATTGTTTGGTCGAGGTATGTATTTATAGTGCCGTAACGACTGCAGGAAGCGTAGTGCTGAAGATAGGGCTGATGTGTGGATAGACTTGACGGGCACTAGTCGAGCTCTCGCATGGTCGCTTTCATAACTCTGCAGTCGATAAAGATGAAAATGGGGTGGACCACAAAGTGACATGTGCGCTGAAAGTAGATAGCACACCACGTGCATGCATTTATGCGCCTGCCTTATAGTGCGCTACAAAGTTCGAAGCGAATCATTTGTCCTGATTCATTGGAAAGGTATGCGAAAAAAGAATTCATCTAAAAAAGATTATGAAATAGTACTGATAGTTACTAAGTTAATAATAAAGTGTTTCACAAATAGTAGGGAGAAAACATAAATGTCTTAAATTTAATTAAAAAAGATAAGTCAAGGACGATCAGTGCCCTTCGCACGCTTGCTAGGTCCCCCTTCTTCCTACGCCTAATCTGCTCAGTGGGGTATGTCAAATTATCAGGGGGTGCCTATCTCTTGCTGCCTGCTGTGGTGTCACCTTGGGTGCCTGAACGGCCTCCGTCTCCAGCGTCGGCTGTGTGACCGAAGGTGCTGCGTGCCTGTAATCCATCCCTGCTTCCCCTTGAGGAGGCTCAGTGGAAAAGAAGTCCTCAACGAATGCTGAGCGAGGGGAGTAAGCAGGCATTCCATGATGCGTCGACGCCAAACCGTACTCATCGTCTGTTTTCATAAGAGGGAGAAACCAAAAAAAGGCGTACTTAGTAATGATACATATAAATAGACCCTAAAGCGTGTTATTGTTTGAAATGACTTACATGTATGCTGTGTGTGGCCTTGCTCTGGCGCACGCGGAATGATATGAAGTCCCCATGCTGGTGTGTTCAACACGTTGTCCCCTGTTGGCATGTAAGGGAAGTGTGCTGACCCAGATGCTCCCTGGGTGGGTGAACATAAGGTGGAGTTTGTAATACCTACGGATGTGGCTGTGCCGTGCTCGACATGGGTACCCCTGATCTAGCTGACCCCATGGTGTACTCCGGTGCTGGGGTGTGCTGAAAGGAAGGATGGCTGTGAGATGTGTAGGCCACTTCGTACCCGCAACGTGACGTGGATGGAATAGTGGGATCCATGCTAGAACGGCGGGGTAGTGGTGGTGATGCCCTACGGGCCGACGGCTGCACCACATCTGCCGCGCTCCGACAGGAGACACGACGTAGTAATGGGGCAGCACGGGCACGGAAGTTGCGAAGGATGCTCGCCACGTCGTTAGGCCTGACGACTTGAGGTCTCGTCTCCAGTCTTTGCAACAGGGTGTCGTACTCCACCTGAACGTGCTCAACAAATTCCGCATGTTCCACAAATAAGTAAGGCAGTTAAAATATTGAACATTTATTAGAAAATATTGAACAAGTTGCACATTTATTAGAAATATTGAAGTAGTTGCACAATTATTCGAAATACTGAACTAGTTGCACATTTATTAAAAAAAAGTGAGCTAGTTGCACATTTATCAGAAATACTGAGCTATTTGCACACTTATTAGAAGTACTGAGCTAGTTGCACATTTATTAGAAATAGTGAGCTAGTTGCACAATTATTCGAAATACTAAACTAGTTGCACATTTATTAGAAATAGTGAGCTAGTTGCACATTGATTAGAAATACTGAGCTATTTGCACATGTATTAGAAGTACTGAGCTAGTTGCACATTTATTGGAAATACTGAGATAGTTGCACATTAATTAGAATTACTTAACTAGTTGCACATTTATCTAGATATAATGAGCTAGTTGCACAGTTATTAATAATATTGAACCAGTTGCTTGTTGACGGTCGTTATTCATCAGTTTTGACCGTCAATATTACCAAAATAAAGGAGAACTAGTGATGCTTGTAATGCATATACATGTTAGAATAATAATATTCCACTAGTATTTGGTTCACTAACCTTTTGCAGAAAATAACCATAAAGTGGAGGAGAATCGACATCAACTCAAATGATAAATCAATCGGACGATGTCGAGAATCAGACTTATGCATGAATGGGCCAAGAACTCAGAATTGACATGATGAATTGGACCAAAATTTACAAGTCTGCATAAAGGAGCAATAGAGGAGGCCGCCAGCCGAAGATGGCCCAGCCCATGGTTCGGCCGAACTTGGTGGTTCGGCCGAACCTATCCTGGCGCCGTTGGATGTAGGGTTCGGCGTGGACGTACAGGATTACATCCCAGTGACGGTTGGAGGGCACTTCGGACAATTCCCCTTCCACAACCATCATAACTACCTCTATATAAGGACTTCACCTTCTCACTTCATTCACACACCTCAAGCAAGAGCTCTCTCATATTCTCATAAGTTTAGTTTAGTAGTATCAAGTTAGTGTAATAGGAATAGAGTAGAAATCAGGAGTCTGGAAGTCTTCAGAAGAGTTCGGGTATAGCTCTAGTAGCTTTCCATTCCTCTTTTGTAAGCTTTGTACTTTATTTAGAATACTCTTCTTTATACATGTATGGTATTATGTTAATGTTATACTGAATATACTGCTAGCTTATCTGGGATATGCTTTGGTGCGGGTATAATGTTTGCATATGCAATTACTCTATGTCATGATGATGATGTTAGAGTAGCATCTGGTAGTTTAGACGTGGTGTCTAGATTACGGGATCTCATAATTTGGGGTTATATGCTGCGGATGAGAGGTGGGCTGCTGATGGTGACAGCTCAGTACGGGTATTCCTCCGCGCGTGTATATAATCCTAAGTTAATTCCCTGGGGAGGGTACTCCATCATATTTAGCCCCGGTTATATGGTCATGACGGGCTGTCGTAAGGAACTCGGCAGTCAGGGGTGGCTTCTCGAAGTACCTGGAGGGCATCGGATAGAGGGTATTAGCTAGTATATCAGTTAACTAGAATATATGTATACTATGTATATTAGAAGTATAGGAATAGAATATCTTTCTCTTTTCTTTCCACTTAGTTTATATAATATATTATGAGAGTGAGTAGCTGATGCTTGTGTATCACTCTACCCTTAGTTTATATTAACCCCTGCTTAGAATATGATTATCACAAGTAATATATAAATTATTAGTCAAATTCTCTCTACATGATCTTCCGACGGGATAAAATAAATACGATACCCTTGGAATACACTCGGGTGAAATGCTACAATGGTATATCCGTGCGCTTGGGGATAAACTCTGTAACCATAATATACCAGAAGTATTTCTGCGCCATTGCTGGGGATTTTATTTCTAGTAATGTCGTTAAGAAATACCAACAAGCATTTCTGGCGTCGTTGCCGGGGATTATATTTCTAGTAATGTCGTTAAGAAATACTAACAAGCATATCTGGTGCCGTTGCCGAGGAAGATTCATAATAGAGATTACCTGAACTAATATTTTATATTTACCTCTGTATAATCATTTTCCTTTGCAGACTAACCTTGGTTGTTTTCACTTTTGTTGTGAAAACATGGTAGTGCATGTTTGGTTTCAACTTGCCAGAAAACTTCAAAGAAAATTTAGAAGCTTTCTTCCGGAGCGTCAAGCCGCGAGTCGTTGCTCCGCAGAAAACTCTACCTACAAAGAAACCAGCCGTACCAGCGCCACCAACCTTCGAGACTATGGCTGACAAGACCCTTCACGAGTTCGCTGCTCCCTCTACTGAGAATGTGGCCATTGGGCCGCAGATCAACATGGGAGACGTGGATTTCGAGTTGAAGTCCAGCCTCATCACGATGGCGCAGGCTAGCCCGTTCTGTGGCAAGCCTAACGAGGATGCCAATGCTCATCTGTAGCAGTTCCTGGAGATCTGTAGCATGTACACCATCAAGGGCGTCAGTCCAGACGCCGTCAGACTACGGCTGTTTCCATTCTCCCTCCTTGGGAGAGCGAAGCAGTGGTTCTATGCCAACCGTGCTGCTGTCAACACCTGGGACAAATGCTCTACGGCATTTCTCTCGAAGTTCTTCCCGATGGGCAAAACCAATGCTCTTCGTGGACGAATTTCCAGTTTCCAGCAGACGAGGGACGAGTCTATTCCTGAAGCATGGGAACATCTGCAGGAGTATATGGCTGCCTGTCCTCATCATGGGATGGACGACTGGCTGATCCTGCAGAACTTTTTCAATGGACTCACCCCGATGTCCCGCGATCACCTGGAACTTTTACAATAGAGAAGATGGTCTCCAATATGGGTTGGAGCGAGGAACGACTCCAGACCCGTCAGCGAGGCATGCACACCATCAAGGAGACGAAATTGCTCGCTGCCAAGCTGGACCTCCTCATGAAACGATTGGACGACCACGAGAAATGGCCACAAGGCACCGTCAAGGCCTTGGACTCTCACGTCACATGTGAAGTCTGCGGCAACACGGGTCATTCGGGGAACGACTGCCCGAAAACCCGTGAGGAGGCAATGTACATGGGCAACAACAACAATGGGTACCGTCCACAAGGAGGTGGTCAAGCTGACGGAGCAATGCAGCAACGTCATACTCCAGAAGCTCCCGGAAAAGAAGAAGGATTTGGGGTGTCCTACGATCACCTGCTCAATTGGGGCACAACAGTTCGACCAGGCCTTGTGCGATCTTGGAGCCAGTATCAGCATTATGCCAAAGGACGTTTTTGACAAGCTCAACTTCACGGTGTTGGCACCAACACCGATGCGCCTACAACTGGCTGACTCGTCAGTCCATTACCTGATAGGGATACGGGATTTCTTCATCCCGGTTGACTTCGCGGTGCTGGACATGGACACGGGAAAAGAGACGCCGCTCATCCTAGGGCGCCCGTTCCTTAGCACCGTGGGAGCCAACATTGACGTGGGAATGGGGAGTATCCGTTTCCATATCAACAGGAAGGAGGAGAAGTTTGAGTTCCAGCTGAGGACGGAACAATGCTCCATGGTTAGGATAAAGTACGGGCCAAACCCTCAAAATATTCAAGTGGTCAAAGTGGAGCCACCCAAAA